TCAAAGTAATAAGATGAATTATACGCAATAAAATAGGCAGTATGAACTGATCTTAGAGTAATTGACATTAATTAACCACAAATTACCCACAGCTAAAAAAGACGTTAGCCTTCGGTGTATTAGTTAACCAGTCGTTTCTTTAAGAAAATCATGTGATGCGCCTTAGAAAATTTGAGGCGGCAATTATTGTGGCGTTTTGTCACTCAAATAATTATTTGATATTGTGTCTTATGACGTCAAATTGATTTTCCTTTTGAAAAAAAAAATCAGTTTGATTTGTCAAGAATCGGTTGATTCAATGACACCCCACACCTCTTTTTATGAAAAAAGTTGCGGGTTCTATATGCATAAATATTAAAATAGGTAGATGTGTGTGAAACATGGGTGAACGGATATTCTCCCCCTCCCATATGGAAGGAAGAAGGTTTTAAATTATCTAATTAAAAAAAATCACCTTGACCAATATATGCGATATTTGAGATAATAAGTTGAAGGTGTCAATTTTTTTGGTTTTTGATTTTTTTCATTTCAAATTTAAATACATTCTTGCTGAACAGGTTATTCCCACATATATGTTGATATTTTTCTAGCGAAAATATAGCACACGGAAGAGAAGTAACAGGTAATATGGTTGATATTTTGGACCCTTTTTAAGGTTGTCCTTTCGTCATGTATGAACAAATTGGAAAGCAATTAACATAATAGAGTCTCTTGTGATTTTTCTGATTTGATAAGAACATCCCATGCCCTGTTATGATTCCTTCTTATTCCTTCCTGTGGTGGGGCTTGGCCTTATCTCACCTTTAAAGTGTTGCTCAAGATTTGGTTGCAACACATTAGTGCCATTCACATGACCCAGCCCGCTATCACGTGCAGCTCTTGCCAACTTTCATGTGCCTTCCCTCAACTTCCCACTTGCTCGTACAGTTGTCTTCCGCGCGTCCACTTCACTCGCATTCCTCTGCGCGTTGCCTCTCCGTTCCCCATCTTTCTCACTTCTCAATGAACGTCTTCGGCCAAGAAGACAAAAACGTCTCTATATGAGTCAGGCGCATCTTAATCCTCTGACTCACTCGTCATCTAACCAATACATACTTCCCGCGTGTTTTCATCTTACGATTTCGGGCATAATTGACGGATGAGATTTTGTGCATGAATGAGCATGAGCACAGGTGATAACTACTTATAGAGATATTCAAAATTTTGGCTCCCTTTTCAAAATTTAAATTCCCCCTGAAACCCAACGGCACCGTCACATTTCTCGTCAACTGCAGCTTCGCAGTTCACGCCGTTAAAGAGCCGTTACCTCCCACCTATAAAAAACTCCCTGCTTCCACTTCATTTTATCAGATTTTGCTCGTCGCCTCTCCAGTCTTTTACTTTCTCTCTCGTTTCTCTCTCTCCACCTCCCTCCTCTAATCTCTCAAGAACTCGTTCTTCCAAGCTCGGCTGCGAAGATGCGTGAGATTCTTCACATCCAGGGAGGCCAATGCGGTAACCAGATCGGAGCCAAGTTTTGGGAGGTAGTTTGCGCCGAGCACGGCATCGATTCAACCGGTCGATACCAGGGTGACAATGATTTGCAACTCGAACGCGTCAATGTGTACTACAACGAGGCGAGTTGTGGTCGATTCGTTCCCAGGGCGGTGCTTATGGATCTGGAGCCAGGAACCATGGATAGCGTCAGATCTGGTCCGTACGGACAGATTTTCCGACCGGATAACTTTGTTTTCGGTCAGTCAGGGGCAGGGAACAACTGGGCCAAGGGACACTACACTGAGGGAGCCGAGTTGATCGATTCGGTGCTCGATGTTGTCAGAAAGGAGGCAGAGAACTGCGACTGCCTTCAAGGTATAAAATCTGTTAAGTCATGTAATAGATTTTAGGGTCTTTTACTTCTAATTCAACTTTAAGTTCTTTCTGAGCTGTTAACTATTTATTTGAACGCTTGCTCTTGTCTTAGTTTTTTTTTTTAAAAAAACGGATTACATATTGCTGCACAGTTTCAGGTTTTCTATAAATTGATTGGGCTATCGATCTGTGTGAATATATAAGTTCTCGAAATGCCAATATGTGTGAATGAATGTACAAGTTCTTTGAATGCAAATCTGAAGGTGTATCGTTGTAATAGTAATTGTTACAATTTCTGTTGTTTATATTGAGATCATTATATTTCCTGTTTGTTCCTTGCAACTCTGGCTGTGTGTAGTTTATAATGACATAAACTATCTGGTCGATTCGGCATATGGATGTTTTAAATAAGAGTACTCCTCTGGCTATTGAGTAAATTCTTTTTGTCTATTTAGGGTTTCTTTTCCTGTTATGTTGATTGGAATGTAAGAACGAATGAAGCGAGACTAAGAAATTTGGTGTTTGGAGTCCTGTTCAATTTCAAATGATTTTTTTAATTACTATAAACTACCTGTATGAATCATCAAATGAATGAGTAATTCCAATTATTTGTAGCATTCTCCTAGTCCGCTTGTTTGCTTGAAAGAACTGAGTGCGCATGCTCTCTAGTCTAATTAGTTGCTATTGTTATCCTTGCAGAAGTATTCGGCAACTTTAATTTTGCTTCTTATTTCAGGTTTCCAGGTTTGCCACTCTTTGGGTGGTGGAACGGGTTCAGGGATGGGAACACTTTTGATATCCAAGATCAGGGAAGAATATCCCGATCGTATGATGCTCACGTTTTCCGTGTTCCCATCTCCAAAGGTGTCTGACACTGTTGTGGAACCCTATAACGCAACTCTTTCTGTTCACCAGCTGGTCGAAAATGCAGATGAATGCATGGTTTTGGACAACGAAGCTTTATATGACATTTGCTTCCGTACTCTCAAGCTCACCACTCCAAGCTGTGAGTCTGTTTTCTGGTTTATGCTTGAAGTTGTGGCGTATCTAATATTATTTTCAGTGTTTTTGTTCAACGTCATTGAATTTGATCCTTTATCTTTTTTGTCGCAGTTGGAGATCTGAACCATCTAATTTCTGCCACGATGAGTGGTGTCACATGTTGTCTTCGCTTCCCTGGTCAACTGAACTCAGATCTCCGCAAACTTGCTGTCAATCTCATACCCTTCCCTCGGTTGCATTTCTTTATGGTTGGCTTTGCTCCGCTCACATCTCGTGGGTCACAGCAGTATAGGGCTCTCACCGTTCCTGAGTTGACTCAACAAATGTGGGATGCCAAGAACATGATGTGTGCCGCTGATCCTCGTCATGGAAGATATCTGACTGCCTCTGCTATGTTTCGAGGTAAAATGAGCACTAAGGAGGTTGATGAGCAGATGATTAACGTTCAGAACAAGAATTCATCATATTTTGTCGAGTGGATCCCCAACAATGTCAAATCGACCGTGTGTGATATTCCTCCAACTGGTTTGAAAATGGCATCTACGTTTATTGGCAACTCCACTTCTATCCAAGAAATGTTCAGGAGGGTGAGCGAGCAGTTCACAGCCATGTTCCGCAGAAAGGCTTTCTTGCACTGGTACACAGGAGAGGGTATGGATGAGATGGAGTTTACTGAGGCTGAGAGCAACATGAACGATCTTGTTTCTGAATACCAGCAGTACCAAGATGCCACTGCCGATGAGGAGGGTTATGACTATGAAGATGAGGAGGAAGAAGAACCTCAGGAAATTTAGGATTGTGCTTTCGAGGTCTTTTGTTCTTATTATGAAACATGTGCTAATGATGTTATGTTTTTCTCCCTCTACCCGAATACCTTTTTCGGGAGTCTTGGATTGTTTTTGGGCTCTCGGCCTTTGTTCGTCATAGCTGTAGGTTTTATTTCTTGAGGCATATTTACATGACTAAGTTGTGCCCGTATTGATTTGTGCTATATTGGAAGTTTAGGTTATATTCGTGCTATATGGGTATACCTTGCTTTTATGATTTTGTAACCTCCCTGGCGTTTTCGGAATAGGTTTACTTGAAGCATTCGATTCGGGTTCTGATTGCCGGTTTGCTGATGATACATTTCAGGTCTAAAATTCAGTTGTCTTGGGTTTTAAACTGGAGTGGGAATGTTTTTTTCCCCAAAGAATTTGGGGCCGAGTTTTTCGTTCGGTTCATGACCACAGATGGGCGGACGGATCGAGGGTTCTGTTGAAGCTTTATGATAGATTTTTCTTTGAAAAAATTTAGGGATTGAGTTAATTGATATTTTAATGTTCTTATTATTTTAAATATAAAACTTATTATGTAATTTATATTATAAAATGAGTTTTATATTTAGAATTATATGAGTATTTTTTATTCTTACAAATTCTGTTTTCAAGTTTTCGCTGTATAGACTAGATCCTCCTCTATGTGGATGCAAATGCTGTGTGTACTAGTCCTCTTTCAATTGCATATAATTCAGCTATACTCTTTAATAGGAATTATTTTGATTTGCTAGGTCTTTGTAAAATGTCTGACATGTCTGGGCTGTTTTTATTTTCTCTTAATTTGTTGCTTTAATTTTCTTTTTTCTCGAGCTAATTAAGTGGGGAGAGACAGGATTGGAAAACAATAATTTAATCAACTTCACAAATAACATTGAATACTGGTTGGACCAAAAAAAAAAAAAAACATTGAATACTGGTTATAATTCTGGGCGTAATGTTATGCCCGAGTAAATTTACTTGTTAACTTGTTAAGAGGCACTCAGAAACCGAAAGTAGTAACCCATACCCAAACAAAAGAAAGCACTCTTCCGTACTTAGTATAAAACCCGCTTAGTGCAGGTGAGCGGGCAGAGTAACATGTATTGGCATTATTCTATTTTAGCCACTCCGTACAATAAATGTTGTTATTAATTTTTTATTCGAAAACTAATACATTTCTTAATTTCTCGATTGCAAGATTACTTTTGTTTTCAGTCTTAATCCATCCATTTCCCTTTCCAGTACGTTCAGAGCTTTAATTTGCTAATTGCCATCAGGGTTAGCCTGCCTGAGGCTCTGAATTGGCCACGAAAAGGAGTCTGAACCTCTGAGCTGTCGCAATTTTGAATTAAAAAAAAGTAAAATATTTTTAAAAGGTCTTAACCATCCAGAACATTCAGGAAGAAAAAATCATCTTCTTTGGATAACTAAAATTTTAATAACGATGATTATTTTTCTTTCCTCTTTTGACTTTCACAGATAATCCAAATTAGACATGCTGCTTGGCCTTACATTCTCACATATTGCCGGGGTGAAAAAAACGAAGGGTAGGGGGTAGGGCCACCTCTTATTGAGCATTGTATACAGACGCCAAAAGATGAGGACCTTACAGCAGAAGCTCACTTTTGAGAAACGAAGTGCTCAGCGACAAGACGGCGGAGGATCTTGCCGGTGGCAGTCTTCGGCAAAGAATCAGTGACGAAAACCTTCTTGGGTACTTTGAAGGATGCAAGATTCTTCTTGCAAAACCTTAACACCTCTTCCTCGTCAATTTCTGATCCTTCTCTTGCTATTACTGCACAATTTATCTGTCACCAACACCGATTTCACTTATCAAAAAGATGTATTTAACAGTGATAGGAACACAGTAACAAGAAAAAGTGACACAAAGCAGAAGACAACTGCGTCATGTATGCATGAATAATCTCTTTTTAACTATTTCTTTGAGTTCTGTTATATTTCTCTTTATTTTAAAATTAGATGCCGTGGATTGTGCAGGACCAACCACCATTCAAAAATTGTACAGTACATTATGCCTCTCTTAAGATCCACCGTAATGGAGCTATCTTCGCATTTATGGTTTGAAGGTACCAGCTGTTGTATCCTCTAGAAATTATAAACAGGACAAAATACGATATTCATCGTATGATCGTATCCCAGAGAAATAACGTGTTCGAAGCTTGCGCTCCTCTCCTCCAGGAAAAAAAAAAAGAAAAAGAAAGGACAACCTCAGTTATGCATGTTTCTGAGGTTGCAACTTGCAGGTCCAGGACATCAGGATCTAATATGTTGCTTTCTAGAAAGGACTAAGATACATCCAGCATTTTGAAATATTTTGTGGTGCATCTAACACTCTGAAGTATTTTTTAAAGACGTCCAGCACTTTAAAATATTTTTTAGGGACACCCAGCACCCTAAAATATTTTTTTTACCTTGGTGCTGGATGCATCAAAAATATTTTTTAGATGCTGGATGCATCTAAAAAAATACTTTGAGATGCTGGTTGCACTATAAAATATTTTAGGATACTGAATGCATAGAAGAAAATATTTCAGGGTGCTAGACCTTAACCATTCTGAAAACTGAGAAGCATTTTTAGAGCTTGTCATTTTCCCACGAGGAAGAGCTGCTAAAAGGAAAGGGGCCAATTGCAAGAAGAGGCTTAGGGTAGATAATTGATATAAAAGGTATTAATCATCCGAAACATGTTTTCTTTTCTTTTAGGAAAAAAAAATGTAACTAATGGTTTGATTTCTTAGTTTGTAAGTTCATTTGAATTTAATGCGGGCATCCAGTTGTTCGGTTTTGGTCTATTGAAGAGATCCAGAAATTGAAAGAAAACCAAGGCCACAATTATGAGAGATTGTTGGCAAAAACAAACAAGCAAAGAAAACAGATAAAGTCTAGATCTCAGTAAGGAGGGTTTTCTTGTACGCCACAACAAGGTTGGTTGGTGACAGGAATAATCCCATGAACTTTGAGAGTGAAGGTGACAAAATTTTAATGATTCAGAGCAGAACTTTTGGTTAGACGCTTCCCACAAGACATGACTGAAGCCTCATCTCAGTGATCATCCATGACCGACACACCAAAAGCCTTTCCTTTTGGCTTTTTTTTTTTAGGGCTAAGTTTCAGACGATGCAAAAATTTGCGGTCCTTCCTTACACTAATTTACACGTGAAAAAAAATCTTGTGGCTCAAGAAATCCCCCCCCAACCCCACCCCACCCCACCCCAAAAAAGGAGTCCTAGGAAAAAATTATGACCCCTTAAAAATCATTTAGTTTCATCACTTGCTGTTCGCTAATTTAATCAATTTTAGTATCTATCAAAATGTGTATGTATCTATGAGCATTTGAGTGAGATTTGCATTGCAATAGTACTTTGTAAGGAGCCATAAAATGCGTAATTTTCAGCGACATTTAAGCTTATTAGATCTTAATTCAGGACAACATAATTATAAATCGATGAAATCCAATGAAGAGTTTTTGATAATAAAAGTATATTAAAAAATCTTAACAAATTTCAATATACTTCAATAAAAAACTATGATCAGAAATAAGTCATTTAACTAATGATTCATGTTATAATATTATTATAAAAAGATAATAATAAATCCAGAAAAGGAAATGGATAATGTAAAGGGAACGGGGAAGGTTGAAAGATGGGAAGATAAAAGAGAGGGAATGAAGGAAGTAGGATAAGGGCAGGCATACATACCTCCTCGCCATACTTATCGTCAGGCACTCCGAAAGCAACCGCCTGAGCAACGTCCGGATGAGATAACAGGACAGCATCCACTTCTATGGGTGATATTTTCTCCCCTGGGTCAATCCAAAAAATAAAATCCACTTTATTCCATCATATAATGTCCTTTTCAGAGAATATATATATATATTTATTTATATATGAGTATATATTTGCCCCCTCCTTTTCTGGCCCACCCCACATAGTCAAAATCTGACCCCCACAATGCCTTGCCTTCACTAGAGCCGGGAATCAGGGCCGGCCCTTCAGGGCTGGCGGGTTTAAAAGGGCCGGCCCTCCAGGGCTGAAATTTTAAAAATACCCCAATTTGCTAAGCCCGGCCCTTAAGCTACAGGGCCAGGGTCGGCCCGCGGGCTTTTGGCCCGTTTAAGAAAAAATACTATTTTTTATATTTATCATATTTTTTATAAAAATATGAAAATAACCAATGAAATTATTAATAAAGACATAGATATGAATAAAATTAAGTCACAAATATAAATATCATCATATATAAATATTCATCAACATCTAAGAACATTTAAAACATTTATTAACAATATAACAACATCTAAAAGTTTTATCTATAATGCAATTGTGTAATAAATAAACACTATCATTAATCTTTTGAAACTTCATCATCACTATAATTAATTACTTTTCTTCATAAGTATGCTTTTCTTTCGTAACAAAAATATCTAGTTTTTCTTCTTTATAAGAATTTTATTTTTAAATTTTGCAATCTAACTATTATTTTACTTTAATGTGAGAACATTGTTATTGAAACTCATGAATTTCTAATTTAAATTATAGAATCACAAGTTATATAAGTATAAAAATATTCTATTATCAATATATATATATATAGTTTAAAAATATCAACGCATATAATATAAATCAAATCATTATTAAAGTCTAAATTAACCCATTTTTTAAAAATTTAATTGGATAAATTATTGTCTAAAACTAAATTTAATTTTAAAATATAATAATAACTAAATATTTGAAATATTATCAACAATATAAAAAATTAATAGCATTAATATTATATAAAAAAATTTAAAAAAATAAAAAAAATTTAAAAGGGCTTAAAAGGGCCGGCCCGCGGCCCTCCAGGGCCGGCCCTTTTAAGCCCTCGGCCCTCCAGGGCCAGCCCTCCAGGACTTATTTCTCATTTTAAGAGAAAAATATCAAGCCCGGCCCTCATAATTTCAGGGCCTAAAAGGGCCGGCCCGACGGGCTCAGCCCGTTTCCCGGCTCTAGCCTTCACAACTGACCAAAAAGGCATAAGCCGACCTATGTGCCCTTAAACCCATTCGTTCAAACTTCACAGTGACTTGTATATATCAATGCCGAGGCTTTCTCCTCCAAACTTCAATGTGACACGACACCTGCGAAATTCAAATCACTCTTCTCTTCTTTATTATACTCATAATAGGGTTTCGTTTATCATTTTAATTGCTACTTGGCCCAACCACATTAGATCAGGGCCTACTCTACCGAATCACGCGGCAGTTTGCTAGCTGTTTCATCACGCTAATTAGTAATTTTGACACAAGCGCTAATTCCGAAGCAAACAAGATTCCAACTTCCGTGTCTGAGTAAAATTAAAAAATGGTGATTACCTCCACGATTAATGAGCTCCTTAATTCGGCCAACCAGATGCAAATACCCGTCTGAATCAAAAAACCCGAGATCACCGGTGTGGAACCATCCGAACTCAAACGCTGTCGTATTAGCTGCCGGGTTATTTTTGTATCCTTTTGTCACATTCGGACCCCTGATGCAGACCTCTCCTGGAACTTCAGCCTTCTGGATCTCTCCCTTCTCGTTCAGGATTGACATTTCTTGACCCGCTGGTTTCCCCACCGACCCGGGCTTGTGCGGCCCGTCCGCCGGCAACGGGTTTGATGACATTAGATGGGACGCTTCCGTCATTGCATAGGCCTCCAAAACCGGCGCTCCAAATGCCTCCTCCAGCCGACCCAATATAATCGGTGCGAGCGACGCGCTGCAACTCCGAACAAATCGGAGTTTCGGGTGGGGTTCGGGCTTGCTCGAGTGACGATCCAGTATGATCTGGTGTATGGTAGGGACCGCCGTATACCATGTCGCGTTGTAATTCAGCATATCTGCCCAAAACGTGGAAGCCGAGAAACGGCCAGCCGCCGGCAGCGCCACAGCGGCCCCCGCACAGAGCGAACTCAGTAATCCCGCGATGAGTCCGTGGACGTGAAAGAGTGGCAGAACGATCACCGTCGAATCGGACTCAGTGAGTTTGTACACGGACTTGATGTTCTGAACCGAAGCGGCCAAGTTGTGCTGAGTTAGAGGCACTCCTTTGGGCCGGCTCGTCGTGCCTGAGGTGTGGAGGAATAGGGCCACGTCGGACGGGTCGTTAACGAGTTTGGCGGCCAAGTCCGATCTCGATTGGTTGTGAGTCAGAGAGAGACTGAGCTCGGCGTCATCAGCTTTGGCAAGCGAAGCCGTCACGTGAGGGATATTAAGCTTTGAAGCCGCGTCTTGAGCCGAACCATTCCCTTCTCGGGACGTCAACAAGAGCTTCGACTCCGAGTCGGATAAGTAAAACTCGAACTCCTCGGCCGTATAGGCTGGGTTCAGTGGCGCGGCCGTGGCTCGTGCACGAATTACGGCCAAAAACATTATCACGAACTGTGAAATACGGGGAAAAAAATCAACGCCATTTACAATGAAACAAAAGAGAAAAGAAAGAATTTCAAGAAATGTGGAAAGTAGAAGATTTGAAGAATCCAATGAAATAGTGTGAATTCATTTCCTTCAGTATCCATCCGGATCAACCAAACACAGAATATACATAGAATGGAAATCAAACCTCGACGGTATTGGGGAAGGTAAGAGCGACGACATCGCCGGCGTTGATTCCAGATGAGACTAAACGAGAAGCTGCGCGTTCGACGAGTTCGAGAAGACGAGAGTAGGTGAGATCGAACTTGCCGGGGACGGAGATGGCACGACGGGAGGGGAATTCGGAGGAGATTCGATTGAGCAAGCCGGTGAGAGTAGGAGCCTCCATGATGTGGGATTGGGAAGAATCAATGGGAGAAGAGTTTTGGCAAAATATAAAAACCGAGAAGAGTCAATAAGAGAAGGACGAGAATTGCGTTGTGACGCATCACAGATCACAATATAAAGAACGAGAGGGGCGGTCCCTTGACGTGGCAAATTTTGAAACGTCGATGTCAAAGCACACGTTTTCTAAGATTTTTCTAAATTCGTTTCCAATAATCGATTAGCATTTCGGTGGACGGGGATGAAGATTCAGGGTGTTTAGTAACTTCCAAATAGTTTTAGGAACATTTTTTTTACAAAATGAGATAAATTTTTTTATATATTTATTTCGTACACTGTAAAAATATTTCTGAAATCATAATTTAGTTTCTATCCAAACAGGAGTACTATTTCACTCCCGTCTGATCTAGTACTTTTTCTTTTCCCTCAAGACCTGGAACCTTTCGGCTACTTTATCCCTTGGGCTTGGCATTTCGTTTCTCTTGGACGAGTCCTCCTCTGGGCTAGGCATAAAATTGATGACTCACCCAAGCCAACCTTGATAGATAATTTATTCATTCTCTCGGTCATTAATTAGTTATTTTTGGTGTGTTCTCTTCCTCTTTGAACCTAACTACAATGATTAAGGGTCTAGGTAGGCTGAGGTTTACACTTTAACAAGTAGCAAAGTTCAAATTGGGCTTTGAAAAACCCGCCCGCGAAAGTCAGCTCGGTTCTGTTTGAGAATGGTGAGGTCTGAAATCAGGTTTTTATGAGTATTATATATCTGATTCCTTCTGTTTTCTGTTTTTTTTTTTTTTTCAAATACTCCTTCCTTAGCCTAATATATCACATTTGTCATAATCACACTGCATCGACATCTATAATCATCACCGCTATATGATCCTCCTCGAAAATAAATATCAGCTTAAGCTTATGCATTAATCTTACAATCCAAATCTTGATGTGTTTATGCAGCAACAATGGCAGTTTCTGCATTCATCTCATCACAGAAGGAATCAGATGTATAATTATAGTACCGGTAATTATTGGCAAAAAACATATGTAATGCTCTTTGGATTCTTAATTAATATAAAATCTAATTAACTAATTTGATTAGATTAATAATATTAGTTAAATTAGTTAATATCATTTTTTTAAATACTCTAAGCATCTTTTTAGCTCGTTTTCTTTTTCTTTTATTTGATTATTGTTGAAGGAATATTAATAGAATTTATTTGAAAAAAATTGATAAACATATAAAATAAATCTTATATATAAAATCAATATCAACTATTAAATTAGGTCGAAGTATTAATTGCTTCAATAATAAGTTTTGTTTTGAACTATTGTATATGCATATTTTAGTTCTCTCTTTATTTTTTTCTCCCCATCCTGTCTCCCGTATTGAATTAAAAAATAAATAATTAAACTTACATTTTTTATTTTTAAATAATTCATGGTCATAAAGTGTCCAAATCTGATGATACGGGCGGTGGCTGGGGCAAGTACGAGAGAGAAGGGTGGCCACCAGAGTTGACGAGGTACGAACTGGCCAGATGAGCCCTGACTATGGGGTTAATCTCTTATCGGTCGCTGTCACATTGCCACGTCACCACCAACCGCCGCCGCTCTGTCGTCACCCCGTCGCCTAGTACTGTTGTCTTGTCCTCGGTCACTCGTGAATTATTTTCATGGGTTAAGTTATTACTAAAACCTTCTTATTTCATCCCTTCTCGGCAACTCAAATAACGTTAATAATAATGATGTTCGGTCATTAAAAAAAGAAACGTGACTATTAAATTAAATCCCATCACTACCTTGTCCCAAACCATACACCCCAGTCTCAGAATTTACTCCGATTGTCGTTTATGGATCAAGAAATCTTTAGTTAATGCAAGATATTATTATAAGTTAATTAAAATCATTTTATTTATTTTCCTCATTTAGAGGTGCTGGAGAAGAGAAGAGATAAAACAGATCAGTGGGAAAGAATGACGACGTATATTTTGACTTTTGAGGGAGAAAGACATATATGTAGAGAAATAGAATAATAATGAATGAAATAGAATTCCACCCCCCCCCCCAAAAAAAAAAAGGACGATGACACTTGCGACAACGAGGCGATGAGAAGTTTTTTGGGCAAGGAGGCCATGGGAATCTGTATATGAAAAAAAGGCTGTGAGAACGGGCCTGACATATGGGCCTTTATTATAATGATCTCATATAAATCACAAAGCAGGCAAAAAAAAAAGGAAGCCCCAAAGCCCAGGGCCGCAGAGAAGGGTTTATCCATTGTTGCGCATAAATATTGCAAAATTAAGGCCCAAGTGATGACAATTCTACAGCTCTATGTGTACGCAGGAGGGAAAAAAAAAAAAAAGCTCTACGGGTACAACAAGGAAAATGTTCTTATTTCTTTTAACCCTATATCATTCCTAACAGCATGCAAAACACTTTAATTGCGACTTTTTTGAGTTTAAGTAGGGATATAAGGTGTGATTTGGGAAGAATGATTAATGATAGTTACATACTGTTCAGATATAAGTGGTGTTAAAACTAGTGGTAATCTATTGTTTTTCCATGATCATAAACTTACTCGTTCTCACATAATAAGCTGAACATATTTTAACCAATATGTAACAAAAACTTTTCAATCCACTGGTCCTTTTTAATTAATCGAAATAGCATGATTCAACTGCACCTATCCTAATCCTCCCTTGTATAGAAGGATGGCGCACACCCACATTTTGCACCACTTGGGGTCGGGTCCCCATTCAGTGAGACCGTCCAGATTTAATATTATTAAATAATTATTTTAAAATAAAAAAATTATATTTTTAAAGAATGATAGTTAAAAGATTATTTTTATTTTTTATCCTATACATATTAAAATAATTATTTTTAAAAAATAAAAATAAAAATAAATCTAGACCGTCCAGATCAGATCTGGATGGTCCAGATTTGATGAGCATTGGGTGCTCATCAAAACTGATGAGCACACAATGTAAATCCCTTGGGGTCACGGCGTATACTAATCTACCTCTTGCAATATCTATTGTTGGTTTGTAACATAGAATAATATATACATTATATGGTCATCCAGAATGAGGGATAATAATAAATACGAATTTGAATCCTAAAAGAATTATCTAGAAGCTTGTAATTAATCAGAAAGGATAGATGAAGTCAGATGATTTTATCCATATTTTCATGCACTTAACCACTAATAACATTGTCACACTTTGAGAACGAGGTGTTTGAACTCGTTATATAGACATTGGTTAACGCAGAAAACAATATATATATAGAGAGAGAGAGAGAGGGGAGAGAGAGAGGGAAATGAAGGGAATAATTGCAGGTTTTCAGCGCAGAGGATTAGGAATTCGATGTTCTCGAGCATATCTGCTTCAATGTCTCTCTGTTCCATATGGTGCTCAATCGAATTACGGAGTAAAAGTTCTTGGGAGTGTACATTGCTACTTGTCAATTACGTACACTAATATTGCATACGAAGTCCTTTTCTGGGATGGGCGGCTGAGCGAATGAATGAGTTACAGTAACATTTTCTGTCGCTGCTTATTTTTAAAATTTGACATTGTAAATGATACATACAATACGAAAATCAAAGTGAAATGAAACAAAACCGAACCTCATTGATCGACCATTAGCCAGATCAACACGAATTGTATAACAAAATAGGATCATATGTCACACTGGAAAGCTCCTTCTGAACAAACTGTCGGGTGGTATAAAACTTGTGTTATTACAGCACAAACGAACCAAGCAAACTACGTACCCAAAGCTCAAAGTAACATATAATTTATGATATAACATCTCTATATATATGGCTTGGGGCATAACACTAAAACAAGAAACATATATGTGCTTAACGGTCGTATGGTGGGGGAGCCACAGGTTGGTCGGCGCTGGAGAGAAGAGAGTTGAGAGGTTGGGATTGAGGAGTTTCAGCCGTGGCGGCGAACTTGACTGAGTTCACAGGTCCCGGAGCCACAATTCCAGAGCTCTTCAGTTCAGCCATTGCTCGGCGTGCGCTCGCACCTTCTACCTCACACAACTTGGGAAGAAACACTCCTGTTTAAGTTATACAAGAAATCGTTATGAATGGATGTAAGGAACAACTGAAAAAGAAAAGAAGGAGAGGATGCTGAATATGTGAAAGTACCTTCGCCGGCGGCGAGATTGAAGTAGAGGTCGACGACGTTGGGGCAGTTGTGGTAGCAGTGAGGGGAGCAGAGGTTGTGGGTGAAGCGGGAGTCGAGGAGCGCGTCGGAGGAGATGCCGAGGGTCTTTCGGTCCAACCCACATGCCTTGACGCACTCATCGCTCTCCACGTGGTCCTTCACTTTGTCGGCTTCGATCTCAGATGTACGACACGTGTAGAGTTCCTTGCCGCTCCTCTTGACCTGCTTCTCCAGAACGCACCGTTTCCCCGTGGACGACACCGCATACGAGCACCTCCCCTCGTCCAGCTTCTCGCACTCGATCCCTCCTCCTGCATCACCACAATAAAATTGCAAGGCATGTGTAAGAAAGTGCATGGAGCGCCTAAAAGAATACGTAGTCCATGCATATACTCGGATATATTATAATTAAGATAAATTATATTTAGGATCTCTCAACTAGTTGGCTCTCTTGTATTGAGACTAGAAGGGAATATGATATGGAAATGAGAATATAGGGAAGAATGAGAGAGAAGAGGAAGGTACCTAGAGAGGAATGGAAAGAGAGAGAGAAAGCAAAGGCGAGAAGGAGGAGAGTTGTGAAGCTAATAATGTGGGAGGCCATGGATGCAGATGAAGGTGAGTATTTGGGGAAGCTGGCAGAAGAAGCAGCTATATTGTGAGTGGTTTAGAGGATGGGGGGGTACGTGGTATTTATAGCTAGGGGCATATTTGTGGGAGCAATTATGGCCTTTGAGGGAGGTATAGTGTCGTAGGATAGTTAATGGGGGGAGGCAAGTGAAGCGGTCAAATTAAAGGGGCGTGTGTATTGCGAGGAGGGTCCTACGTTGACATCAGAAAATGTAATTGTCTTCTTTCAAACCTCTGCCGCTATCAGTGGCGAACCTCCCTCCTCCTTCAATTCCTTTTCCCTTCAAAAATCCACATTCACAGATAAAAATACTCACAGCCTATTTACACATAAGATTTTCACATCCATGCTAGCATTTCAACTCATAAGATTTGCAAGGTGTGTGGTCCATGTCGTAGGTTTTGAATTGAAAAGTAGAAAAATCTCCTCTTCCTAACAAAGTACAAAACGATACCTTTTGATCAAAGACGTTAGAAGATACTACTTCTCCGATCCTTAATATAAGACCTATTTAATTAATTTGATTAAATTAAAGAAGTTAGGTAAGTTAATTAATTATAAGAAATATGACATTTTTTTAAAACATCATAATCATCTTTTTTAATATCTTCTCTCCCTCATTTACTTGATTGTGCTTGAGGGAGTATCATAAGAGTAATTTAGAAAAAATTGATAAATATGAGAAATAGGTCTTATATTTAGAACCAAAATTAACTTAAGAATTAGGTCCTATATTAAGGATTGGAGGAGTATTTATTTGGTTACTTTTCTTTTACCAAACCTCTTGGAGGGGGAGACAACTAGAAAATGCAGTTTCGCAGGGCGTTCGGTATATAGTTCTTTTTTTCTTTTTTCTTTTTTATTTGAAAATTGTAGAAAATACCCAACAATAATCAAACCATATATAAGCTCGAGGCTGATTATGTAGAATAACCATTTCGTGAAGAATTAGTTTAGGATCATAAATCAATTCATGTGATGCTTAACGAAGAAGGTGGCCGCCGACAACCATTCCTAATCAATAGTTCATTAATAGTTTACTGGAAGCTTAGCTAATTAAGCATGTGGTTCAAACTTCAAAGGCAAAGACTAAAGTAGTGGTGACTTGTTTATCAGCAAGCCTATTGAATACTTGTGTGTGTTTTACGTTTTGTGACACATACGTTTTGAATACTTAAAATAGATCTAGCATGCATGGTTGACAAGAAGATGGATATAGTAAATGCTGTGAAATTAAAAGAGAGAAGAAGTCGAGGCAGAAATGGAGGAACGAGATTCACGATGATGAAGACAAAAGGATGAAGAAGTAGTGCGTACGTGAAAGGAAAGAGAGACAAATTAAAGTGAAGTGGGAGGAGAAGTAATTGCTGCGTGGTTAGCGGAGCAAATAGAAATAATAAGAGAGTGATATGAGGAAGGGAGGGAGGCATAAGGGAGGAAGGAGTGATATGCCACCACGGATATCGGCGACTAAGTTGCTTATTTCATTGAAAATACCAATTAGGTCGTGATGTGTCATTCCAATATAGTTGGGGAGCTTGACTAGCATGTTGCTTGATTTTGCTAACGCTTTTTTAAGCTTTCGGTCCCTATAATTACTGCTATCTTTTCAACCGAACCTATATTCAGGATCTTGATCTTTGCCTAACTTCTTGCAACTTTTCTCTTCCTTCCTTTTTTTAAATATTAGTTATATTTTATATTGATTCCAGCAGGCAATAGATGACGTTTTGGCCACGTAAGCATAAGTTCTGGAATTTGAGTCGGTGTAAATACATAAAAAAAAACTTTTAAAATTGAATCCAAGAATAGTCGTAACATAACTTGATATATAGTCATGTAAGAAAAAATATTATATTCCATAGTCTAATATTTTATGACAACTATTATGGAGTTTGAATTGAATTACACATTACATGATTTATGAACGTTTACCATTTTCAAGGGATTTTATAAATACATTGAATTCAATAAGGTTGCCTTATAGTTACGTTATATTGGGAATATTACTCTTCTATATTTTCTTAACATGAAGCATTTTCATTTTTTTAAAAACTAAATATATCTGTCAGAAATGTTAGCACGGCTTACATTATATGTTGAAATAGTTCTCATCAGATCATTTTAAAAATTTAACTTCGGTATTTTCAGGAGCGTATTCATATCAATTAAGCAATTTCACTCATTTATTTCTTTTATTGGTTGTTTCATACAATGCAAAAGCAAATTTCTTGTTTTCTTCTTATCTACCAAATACATTTTTAACACAAAAATGACTCGTTCATGGAAGCATCCTCTCTTCATTCCATCCTACCCTTTTCCTTAAAAATATATAATTTCATCATACCAAACTTGCATGCACAATCATCCAAATGGAGGATGAATTAAATATACATATGGCATCTCTAATTTCCAAAAGATGAGTCCAATTAGTATTAGTTTCATACTCACGATGGTGTGAATTCCAATACTACTGCTGAGACGAACTTTGATTATCATTGACTGGAATATATGTGTACGTGTTTTTCTTTTACGCCAAGCTAGGGGAGAAGCACTCGGACAAGGCCAAGTGGAGCGAATACCAGGAAAACAGAAGAACAGTGTCGGCTCCAAAATCTCTTATTTCTCTTCAATTGCTTCTTTCGATAAATTGAAAACAAAATTCAAGTGTCTCTATCAACCTCCAAGTAAAAGTGAGCATCTAAGAAAATATAGTTAATAATTAGTAACATACAGATACTTTATTCATTACACTTCTTCACTTCATTGGCACAACAGAAGAAGAAGTCGTTTTTGCCTCTTCCGCATAGAGCTCAATCTGATTCTACTCTCTAAAATAGAGGCATCGCCCATATATAGACTTAGCCATAGGCTCCCAGTTAATTACTACTTGCCTAGAAAAATATTATAAGAATTTAAATAATATTGTTTCTGGCTGAAAATAAGTTCCGCGAAACTTCCAAAGGCTCATCAACTTGTCCTATTATATACTTGTAATTTGTAATGCATTCAAGTGTATAGAAAGCCAGTGGACATGTGCCATAACAGTACTAAGCACTTCTCTAATACTAAAAGCCTCTTTTAAATGTCTCTTAAAAGTAAGTCTGGGAGTTCAATTCTCTGTGAATGCCATATATGTACATGAATTTATTCTCTTATCATGAGCCAGCAGACTTTAAATCTTAAAAATTAAGCCAAGCATGTGTATGTAACAATAGTTTTTTTAAAAAATAAATTAGTGTATATAAGATTATTCAAATAAAAGAATAATGATTGCACACAATTGATTTAGAATTAAAAAATAATAATGAATTATAAACATATTGTCCTTTAAATACAATAAACTAATAGAAAATTGAATTATCTTATTATAAATGAGACTTTAAATCTAAAGATTCATCCTCCAGGCACGTGTAATTATAAATTTTTTGAATCTATTATAAATAAAATATTTACATGAAATAGGAATAATTAATTGCAAATATTAGTAGTCTAGAATTAACAGATAAGAATGAATTAAAAACATTTTGGCCTTTAGGTATTATAAATTAATAGAAAATCGGACCATACCAATGTTGAAGTCAAAATGCACACACGTCTTATTTTTATGCTTTGACTAAAAATAAAATTTTATGTCTCAACAAAAATCAGTCTCCACTACTTTTGAATAATACTCATGATTTCACAAAATAAATAAAGTCGATTTCAGTTTCAAGCATGCAAACCGAACTCACAGTCTCACAAAATAAAGCTTTTGGAACACCCCCCGCCGCCCCCCCCCCGGGGGGGGGGTGGGAGTCCGTCCAATGACTACTAGAGTAGAGTTGAGGGTATGGGGGACACAGCCCACAAGAGTGACCTTGCATGGGAGACGGGCTTCCTTGTTCCCCGGCCCATTTGGGACTTGAGCATAATGTTAACTGAACGAAAATACTTAAATAATTGTCATATGTACCCTTAAATTTTTTTTATTTTAGTTTGGATCCTTCATGCTTCAAATCATAGGTTTTTGGTCCTCAAGCTTCTTTTTATTTATAACATTGGTCCCTATAATTTAATAAAAAGTTTACCATTTTATTTTTTTGTAAACCAAAACTTATAATTTGAAATTTAATAGATCAAAATAAAGGCGCAAACTTAAAGGACCAAAGATTATATTAACCATTTATTAAAAAATTCTGTTCATGAAAATCACTGCTCCGAAAATAGAGAAAATTTTTCGTCATTAATCATGAAGCCCTGCGATGAAGCTTATTTTATCAATCTCTCGATGCTTTCCTTAATTAGCACTAGTCAAAATTTTACAAATAATCAACAGATAATAAACAAATTCAGGGCAGAGAATGATTAAACAAAAGAAACTGAGAAAAAGGACATTAAGCAATAATGTTCACTGTATCCTACGCATACTTGATCCTCTTAGATCATCTAGATGGATCTTCACTAGCTATATATCCCTCTCCTTTCACTGGAATGTTTCATTACTCGATAGTGTTTACCCAAGATCATTTTAATTATATTAATTTCATTCAGATTCTCATTTCTTTTTTATTTTCACACCTAATGATAATTTCACATTTCATGTATCATACAGGAGACTGGGAGAGGACAAAGATGGATGGGGCAGCTTTAGAACAGGAAAATCAATAAATAAACAAATATGACCAGTGATAGGTGTACTATAAAGAAAACGTCCACTGGAGTTGTAAGAATAAGACATAACATGCCTACAGGCATATTTATTAACAACACACTGCAATATCACGTATATTCCCAAAATCCCTATTTCATTTTTCCTTTTCTTTCTCTATTTCTCCTCCTGGAATTTCTTTTCAATAAAGCCAAGCAAACATGTCACGTGTCTTTCTGCGTAGAATTTTTGTTTCAGTGCGGTTTCTGGTGACTGGCGAGTCGAAATCATCAGTTTGAACAAAACTTTGTAACATCGTACAGTTTCAGACACACGCATTTCACACTACGTACATATAATATAATGTGCGACTAACAATCCCCCAATGGATTTCTTATATCATTC